TCAAGTCGTCGTTGTTTAACAATTCTACGTTTCTAGGAGAACAGTTCTGTATTTTCAAGCTTGTTTGTGCGAATTGTGCGCTTCAGACATGATATATTGTATACAAGTGGTTCTTCATTAGTACGTCAGCTTGGTTAATATGGAATTAAAACGGCTTGTATTACAATCAAAGTTTACTGCACATGTTAGTCGTACTCAAGTCGTCCTTGCTCTGAGACTCTTGGAAAGACGAAACCCAAAACGCCCAAACCAAACAAAAAATAGAACCAACAAGTCTTGGAAAAGGGGAACGATTATCCCTGACAGCAAGAGTTTTGAAAAATGGAGGTTTCCGAAATTAGGGGCACCTTGTTGGGGTCCTTATTTTACGCGGATCCTACTATTTGGGCGTCTAAACTAGGGGCCCCCATTTTCGTAAACCCCCGCATTGTTTTCTGGTTTTATTGTTTTCTTTCGTTTTCTTTCTCGTTTGGGTGTTTTTGGTTTCATCTTTCCAAGAGTCTCAAAGATTCATTTTTTTGTATTGTTGTTTTTGGGTTTCCTGATTTTTGCTAGATTTTTAATTTTGCGTCTTTGGGGTTCTGGAAATAGATCTTTGGGGGGGGGAATCGAGCATACATATATATATATATACATATATATGGTTCATGCATATATACGCAAATGTGCAAGCGCCACCCCCCCCCCCCCCCCCGACCTACTGCAAGGGAGATAGGTCTTGCATCTCGGATCCTTGGGCCTAAACATTTTGCACCGCGGATCTTGGGTTTTGGGCGTTGGATCTGGGATTTGGATCCTTGGCCTCAAAATGCTGGGATCTTGTGAACTTTGGATGGGTCTTGGGCTTCGGATATCGGACCTCGGATTTTTGATCTTGGTTTTGGATCCTAGATATTGGATCCTGGATCTGTTTTGGGGTGGATGTTGTCCTATGGGGTGCATTCCTGCTTGGTGTGTTTTTGATAATGCCATATCACAGCACTAGATGCGTACCTACCAAGTTACATTATTGCCTTAATTCTTGCTGTTTTTTTCTATATATTGTTAACTTTACCGTATATACATGCGGGGCAGTCAGTCTTAATTTGATGCAGCCGTTTCGCATGTTCATGAATTTAACGGAGTGGCTCCAAAGTCCAATCCATGCAACTATTGTTTCTCACAGTATCATCCACCATCCAATATTTGCTACCTCCTCCGAAAGCTTTTCATTGCCGACGTAGGGACTGAAATCATCAACGGCTTTTAACTTAAACGAGAACCCCTCAAGAAGCAGTGGCTTGAGTTCCCGCTTTAGCCCAAACTGTGTCTTAAGTGCCACTTAATTGATTCGGTACTTGAATTTGCAGCATTGACTCTAGGACACAAAGCTTCGGCCGACTACTAGTATCAGTAGGTCCACACATGTAGCTGCTCATGTAGCTGATCTTTCTGCTTGGGGAAACTAGCGTGACTACAGTTACTGTTCTATGAGACCGATCTAGAAACCGACGAACGTACGAATTAAGTTATAGCCCATGTGTTACGGGCCAAACTGGCAGCCTCCGTGTGCCGCCTCGTGGAGTCGCCCGTATGTCACGCATTTCGTCCACAGGGACCTGCGGATGTCACACTGTGACAATTCCCCCTGGCTTCGGGAATCCAGTCGACCGGTTAATACCCCATGATTCCACTGAAGGACGGGCTGAAACTAGGCAGGGTATGCAGAGCCTCTCGAGCGGTGGATTGCGCACAGCAGTAAGGAAAAGGGTAGCGACGTTCGTCACATGGCGGAGTGCTAATTGAAGGATGCAGATCTGATTATAGATATATGTATATTGTTCACGCACTCAGTGACATGGAGTGTTGCCAGGCCAGCCATCTTTCTGGAAAAGGAGTCGGCGTCGCCGACCTCCAGCAACGTTTAGAAACGGCCGAGGCCAGAGCCTTGCAAAAAATCAGAAAAACAAACGGGCGAGTCAAGTGCAATATAAAGTGCAGGCCTGTCGCAGTCACATTTTTTCAGGCTGAACTTCAGAGACTTTGTGACAATGAGCAGTTCGAAGAGGCCCGTTTTTGTTGGTTAACTGCATGTGGTTACATTGTGTTTGTCAAGGCGGAGGCGTTGGATTGCACCATCCAAGCACTGAAAGAAATGATCTCCAAGGAGTGTCCGGAGGCGCCATGTGCTGTGAGTGTTTTTGGCGGTTTGTTTGCCATTATTATTGTGCAAATGTGCCTTCTCGCATTTTCAGAGTTGTGGACAAGTTGGTTTCTAGATTCAGGTACAGAGCGACCCACATATGTCATGTCGTGCATGTGTCTCTTTAGGCCCAGCACAAGCAAGCAGCAGGCAGTATACAGGACTGAAAACAAGCAGACAGGCTATGGAGGCGTCAGGGAGCTAGTGCGAGCCGGCAATCCTGAAGCCCTCAATGAGCACCCTCATTTTTTAGATTTGAGATCTGCTGGGGTCTAAAAAAATTGGAGTGGTTAGTCCCAGCTTTTTCGAGTTTCTCGAGGTTTACTTAGAAGTTTTGGGGTTTTGACTCGTTAGACCGAAAAGTTTTGGCAGTGCTGGTCATAGCAGCCTTGGACTTTTGGAGTTTTGGAAGAATCAATCATTGAACGTTTCGCGAAGCTTGGATTTCCAAAATGTTATGGCAAGCGCAAAACGGTCCATCTTTTGGGGCTGAAAAACGTTGTCTTCGTGAGTGGTATTGGGGCACCCGTGCGCAAGCCGCGTGCCACTCTTGTGGCAGCTGCTTAGTGTTTTGCACAACTTGAAACGTGTTCGATTTAGCATTCTTGTCATCCCTGTTTCGCATGTTAGATTGGTTGAACAAGATAAGGGCCGACTGCTGAATTGTTTCTAACTTTCCTTTAATTTCAACTGAAGAACCTGTGTTCTCGACCTGACGGACTTGATACTCAGGTTGACTATCAAGCCCATCAAGCCCGTGATGGTTCATGGGCTTGTAAGTCATATCGCTGCCAGTTTGTTCGCTTGTCGCCCTTCTGAAAATTCCCAAGCGTTGTTGGAGCAAGCAAATTGTACAAGAGCCTTGAGAAAGATTCAAGATATTGACAGGATAGATTGCATCTGAGGACTCATTCTGTGATTTAATTGGGTTAAGGCCTGACTGACATTCATATGAACTCGTTTGAAACATAGCATTCATGATCTCATAAGGATTCCGTACAAGCGGGAGCTCACGACGGTCCGCACAAAGCAAAGCTGAGCATCAATCAGGATTTTTGCTAGGCAGCTAAGGTGTCAGCTCATGCAGCTCATCGTTTGATTGCCTGAAGAGACACCCTGTCCCGGTGTCCAAGTCTTGTCGGGGCCGAAAATCTGTGGAAAGTGCACGCGCTCTGCTGAAAGTGCAATTGCAAGCTTCTGCTGAGATCGGTTGTAGTCTTCACAGCAATGTTTGCTGGCAGCAGGGTTTTCCGAGTCCTAGCAGTTGCAACTTTCAAGTAAACTTAAATGACAGGCATCATCGCAGTCTGCTTTGGCAGCCAAAGAGTCCGCCCCCTACTGCGGATGTCGCATGAGGCTCCTGGATTGGAGCCCGATCAGGTTCCCGTGCGTAGAGTCGTATCGTAGAATCGTAGAGCTTAAGTTGAGCAGCAAAGAGTGCTGATGCGCTGTCATGGCCGCGTTGGCAAGGTCGGCCTCCCTCGAGCGCACTTTGAAGGAGGCCTTGCCTGCGGAGGCTCCTCCGCAGGTTGCGCCTCCGCAGGTTGCGGCTCCGCAATTCTCGGCTGGGCTTCCGCTGCAGGCCCAAGTGTAAGAGCATCTTTGCGCTGGTTGAGCGACCAGCGGCGCCATACGGCGCCATGCGGCGCCATGCGGCGCCATGCGGCACCCTTGCACGACACAGGTCAAGCCACCCCCGCCGCCTGAGCCAGCACCGTCTCCGTGTCGAACTCACGCTGGTGCATAGGGTGCATTCTCCGTGTGTGTTCCACGTTTGACTTTGTGGATGCAGTAGCCATCACCCAGATCAAGGCAAGAGAAGCTGCACCGGGCGCGATGGGCTTACTACGCCTGCTCGTGCTTGTGGCTCTTGTTTGTACCATGCTCGCCCGAACGTCTGCATGGCAGTATCAGGTTCAATGCTGCGGGTGTGCGTCAGTGGCTGGAAGAGCAGCTGAATGACAGCGACAAGGAGTCGCAAATCAGGGTCCAAGCTGTCCGAGCTACTTCTGCATACTCCTGCACGTTCTGTTACAGCAGGAGCAGCATCGCTTGCTGGAAGCGCAGGCTCGCACACAAACGGGCTCTAGCCAGTCTAGCCAGTCTAGCCAGGTGGGCCTGCTCTTGGACCATGGCCTCGCATTTATGCAAAAACGACGCACCGCTTGGTTGTGTAACGGTAGGTTTGGTGTAGAGGTTCGAAACAATTTTTTGTGGAGCCTGCATACGCTCAGTCGAGTCCGATGATGCCTCTAGTGTCTACCACATGCAGCTGGGCGATCACAAAGCTTTGTGGAGCTCGGAGAAGCACGTAAGTCCAAGGCATGTAGTCGTGCATTTTGCTCTTGGCTTGTTGCGGCTGTTGATTGTTTGATGTTTTGGGGTCCGAACTTTCTGAATCGCTGTTGCATGGTCGCGCGCGATTTCTACGGAAACCAGCACGTTCACGAGCTTAGGTGCTGTTTGATGTGTCCGTGGCGGCTAGAGCTTGTTCTGGTCTGATGTTGGGAGCTGCAGGCTACGTGCCTGTCTGCCAGCCAGAAAACAGCCGACAATATCGCTGACTTTCGGCAACGATTGGCCAAGACCGAGGTGGCCGTCTCAGACGCAAACCAACTTCCAAGAAAATTGCTTGCGGCCCCCTTTTTCGTTTGTTTCGTTTCCTTCGAGGCTGACCAAAACAAGTTGTGCGACAATGAGCAGTTTGAGGAGGCATCAGGGTTGCGTTTCATGGGCTTTGTGTTTTGAAACGCATTTAACAACGCTCTTGACTTTGAAGGCTGATGCGCTGGATGGCACAATCCAGGGGTTGAAAGACATGATTTCCAAAGAGCTTGAAGAGGTCCGCAGCCGATAAAACTGCATGTGGAATGCAGGAACTTAGCAAAGTAACTTCTTTCATGCTTGACAAGCCTGCCTGGGCGAACAAGGCTTGTGATATAAAGTTGTCCTAAGCTTCGAGCCTTGACAGCTGTCAGGTAGCCATTGGTGCACAGAAGATGGTTGCTTTTACGGAAAGTTTGTTGAACCTCACCAGGCTCGCAAACTTGCCCTGCGTGTCAGCTTCCAGGCACTTGCTTGTCCCGTGATTCCAGGGATCGAGTTTCGATAGCCAACGAAGCTTTGGATCGTGCAGAGGCGCGACATCTTTGCTATTTTTTGCCTCTCTTAGCTTCAAGTCTGCCCTGATCTGCCCTGCAGCTCCAGGTTCTACGCACGGAAGGAGTAGAGGCACTTTGTTGATGCACTAGCAACAGACGAGCATCACATGAGCTTTCACCATCTTTCACCCAGAACTTCGCAGGGCTTCCACGCTACAGAGGAACGTTGCCTTCGTCATCTTCAATCGGAGGAGGCATGCCTTCAAGCCGATTGCTGCTCCAAGTGCATGTTGGTGGCGTGCAGGCTCGCATCGAAGCTGAAAGGTGTGGCTTTGCATTGATTCTGATTGCTGGGGACTCTGCCTGTAGCCTCATTCCGTGCAGTTGGCACAGGAAACGGATGGATTTGGCACAGTCCCACATCGAGAAGGACACATTTGCAGCATCATTCTCGTATCGAACCATGTGGATACTTGCAACTGCTCATGGCCTGAACAGGGGATCCGGGCACGTGAAAGGTGTTGTCAATTTTTTTCACTGTTGTGCCGCTTCGTTCTTGCGTGCTTGCCGGCAATCACGTGCGCGCGTGCTCGAATCTTCTGTGCATGGTCAGCTGTCATGGAATTGAGCTCACCAGAATGCACCGGCGTTCCGCCAGCTCCAGAAGTTTGTTTGGGCCTGATGATGGACGAGGGGGACCGGGGAGATTGCCTGGTGACTTGCCCTGCTGATGCCGCGCGGATGGAAAAGTCTGTTTGACATGTCTTGACGATTGGGTTCCTTCTCAATAAAGCATGCAGGACTCGCAAAACTTAAAGGAAGAGTGGCAGCAGGCTCGCATGTGAATGCCACACCTTATTCCTACTAACATGGAAATGCACTTTGACACTTCTGAACTATCAACATCTGCGAACACTCTGCAGGTTACAGAAGCAATCGACCAGCAGACGATAGACGATACTGCCGTGCTGCTGCCCAGATTCCCTGGTTCGGATTTTGTGAAATGATGTGAGATGCGGCCTCAGGAAAGGGAGAAAGCGAGTCACGAGCGAGCAGCTCTCGACGAAGATATCCAGGAGCTGGAGAGGCCTTGCTGGATGACTTATGCTGTCTTGCAATGGGCCTGGGCCCAGCTCAACTGAATGAAACAGCGTTACAGATCGCCACAGGCGGCTGTCGCAAATGCTTGAGCAGCGGAAGACGTTGACCGAGGCCTCGGTCGAATCATTTCGCGCTTCACAACTTGGAGTACCATCATTCTCATTGCGATTTTGCGATGGGTTGAGTGGTGGCAAAGGTCGAAGATGCTATGTTCGATGTGTGGGTATGGTAGTTGACCCGTTGCTTCGCCTTGCCTCGGTTGGGAGTGGGGGGAGGGGGGGGGAGAGGGGGGCGCAGTGAACATCCGTGCTACCAGCGCATCGGCTTTTGCGATACCGGTTTCCTCACCGATATGTGGGAGGATGAATCAATCCCGCACGTTCTCTTCGTGCTCACAGGTGCTAGCAGTCCGTGTCACGTGTCACGCACCCGTCCCATGCCCTGTCTGTTTCCCTTCGAAGGCACCTTGGGACGCCATGGCAGGATGTGTTCAAACAGGTTCAGAACCCGGCAGGACAGCAAAGATCTCACCGAGATCCATTCCCCCCCACTCCCCCCCGGCACCCCAATAGCCCCACCACTTGTCGAGAGTCATCGACCCCATTATTCCTCTCCTTGGTCAGACATCAACAACACTGGGGAGGGAAGGGCGCTCATCTTTCCACTCTATTTCTACTATGCTCTGTGTTTTGTCGAATCTGCTCATTCGCTGCACGGAATTTCAGTTTCATTGTTTTGTTTTATGTAACCTGCTGAGTGATCCGCTGGATCAGTGCCGCAATGTTTGTTGTGAGGGCGCTGCTTTTTCAAGCTTGTAGTGTCGTTGTCTGAAAGTGTCTGAAGCTTGTCATTCAAGGCTCGCCGCATTATCGTGCCATCCTGCATGCCGAGATGTGTTCAGGTCATTGATTCCTGCGACATGCGCATCTCTTGCATAAGGCCCAGATGTCGATGGAGTAGAGAAGTGAGCGGTCAGTGTGGATCGCAATTTGCAGCGTCCTGTTCCAGGGCGAAGTTCGAAAAGCAGCTGGGCCGCCTCGAAGGCAATTGTGCATTATAGGGCACTTGGCAGAGCCTTTGGGCATGCAAAGTCCCTTGCACAGTGAAAAAGGCAAGCAGAAGCGCCTGGAAGAAGCTCAGAAAGAAGTAGAAGCAGATTCACAACAGGCTGGTCAGTTCAGGCTGTGGCAGGCTGCATGAACTGCTTTGCTGCGGATTGCCGAGTCTAGGTACGGAAGATGGAGTCCGAGCTTCAGAAGGAACGAGAGGTCTCATGGCTATGAGTTGACCATTCGATAGCGGCTCTCTACGTGTGTTGCGCTCAGGAACTGCGGGAGCAAGAGCTTCAGCATCAGCAACAAATGCAGGACATCCGGAGAGCGTCGCGTGATCTGCGAAAACAGAGGCGTCTGCATGGAGATATATATGTAGAGATGGCATATATAGTCATATATGGCATCCTTTTCAAACATTGGTCTTTTTACGCTCTCCACCTGGAGGTGCTTCCTCTCTGGAATCATAAGGCGCCGTGTCGTGTGGCAGCGCCTCATGGAACCTCACCGAGAGTCCCTGAACAAGGCCCTGAGTTTCGTTAAATGGCAGCATGTTCAACATTTGCTTAAGCTTTTCTTTTAGAACCACATGCAATATAACCTATACTTCAAACCCACCTGCACATGTAGAGAGCGATCGCCGGCACGCGTAGGAGGGTTGATGGGGCTTAGTGTTGAGGGTTTGAGATTTTAGCTCCTTAAAACGCCTTTATTTAATTATCAACGGACGAAGTTAACGGTAAATATCCAGCTGTTGTATGTTGCAGTGCGATGGGAGAATATTTAGTATTGGGTTTCGGCTCGCTGACGGCCTTTTTCCCAGAGTCGACACAGGTGGAGTGTGTGCAGCCTGTGCCGCTTGTGCAGCCTCACGTCGATCCAGATGCCAAGAGCAGACGCAAAGAGCAGTCTCGAGTACAAGCGAGAGCGCGCCGCGAGAGCGCGCAGCGAGAGCACACAGCGAAGGTTCACGTGCTGGCTTCTCAACGAATCAAATCCTGGCATCCACACTTGATGATGGGCTTCTGCACGGTTTTCTTTTTGTTTGCTTTCAAGCCAGAAGGTTGACTTAGGCCAAGCTTAGTTCGGTGAACATGTGGTAACATGGCCGGAAACAAAGTTCATGTTTGCTGCGGCCGTCACGAATTTCCAAGCGAGCACACCAACTCAAGAAAGCACAGGTTCCAAAGATGCTGTACGTGGGAGTGAGTACAAACAAAAAGCCATAGCTCACCACTGAAAGCATCGCAATCGTTCCACGAAAACAGGCATCATGGAATAGTGTTTCATCCAGACAATGTGTCCAGCCACTGCACATGTCAAGTCATCTGGTGCGAATGGAAGTGCCGGCTGTCGAACCAAATCAAGAACTGAGAAAAGAAGACACATTGTAGACGCCGACATGTCGGCAACACAATGAAGTGCACCGCATTCTTTCTTGCGCCAGCCATCCAAATCATCAAATATCATCAATGCGAGGGGCATCTCTGCACCTCGATACCATGACTGCAAGCCTACGCCACCACCAGAACCAACAACTCCATCGGCGGAAGCGTCCACAACAGCGTCCTGGCGATTTGGCATACCATCTTTCGATGAGGAAAGGTAATTTCTGCAAAGCTTTACAAGGATTTCGACCAATGTAAAATAATTTAACTAGGTTAAAGGTTCAAGCAAGTTAGATAGTTCTTTAGAACGCCGATTCATCATTTAAATTGAAGAGTAGGGCAACTAGTTTAATCGGCGTTCTACTAAGTTGTTTAAATCTGGCTTTCGAATATAAAATCTTGAATTGAGAAGTATGGTTTCAACAATTAAGATGACGTTCTGCTAAATTGTTTAAATCTTCTTGCTCCATAGAATAAATAAACTGAAGAGTGGGATTTAAACATTCAATAGGCGTTCCATTAAGTTGACTAATTTCTTCAAAAAACATTACATGAGCCTCTGGATTCCTATATTGTCTGGACGCCAGATTTCCGGCCCCGAGAAAAATAAGTCTTAAGCAATGAATTTCACTGCCTCAAGTAAGTAAACTAACCACAGTAATTGAATGACTTAAATGAACTTGATGACTTAAATTCATTAAGTTAATTGAGTTAATCAACCTAAATACACTAAGCAAATAAATTGCATGAATTAAGTAAACCGACTGCCCCCCTCCAACCCTAAACCCAAACCCTCCACTCCGAAACTCTCCCAACCAAACCCTCCACTCCGGAAGCTTCCTCAAAGCGCTCTCCCAGTCTCCCAGTATCATATCGAGTTAAGGCTTTGAGCACGACATCATATGAAAAGTTATGACATCTTAATAACCTTTCTTACCATCTAGATCATTTTTTCGTCTTTCTCATTGTTGTTCATGTTTATTATCATCTTGCGAGTCTTTTTTTTATAATCGTTATCACTGTTTTTTTTTTAAATCATCTTTATCATCTTTTCTATCGTATTTCTATCATCTTTATCATCATGTTTATCGTCTTTATCCTCTTTCTTATCAGCCTTATCATTTGTAACCTTTTCCATTGTTTTACCATCATTAAAATCTGATCATTATATGGTATCATGGTTATCATCTTTGTCATCTTGCTTTATTGAAGACATCTTTACCTCACTTTTTCTTAACTATATTTGATTTCTTTTGACTCCAGATATAATTGTCCAGGCGCAGAGCAGCAGGGCAAGCAAACAGGCAACAGGCGGCAAGCGCTCGACCGTATCATTCAAGAGTGCAAAGGGTAGGGGTTTTGGGGGGAGCGCGGGGGTGGTTGGGGGGGTGGGGGAGTGGGGGATAAGGGATGATAAGGGTCTGTGCGAAGGGTTAGAGGGAGGGGTCTGGGCCGGGGTCGCTTCCGATCAGTCCCGGGAAGCAGCTTGGCATTCTGCATTCTGCATGCACTATAGAGTTACATTGCAAGACTACTCGTAGCAGACGTAGACCTGAACGGCTTCGGTTCGGATGTTTAATTTGGAGATGTTCATCGGCCACATGTCGCAGACGTTGCTGCTGTCGAAGAAGCACGTGGAAACTGAATCGCAGTGCGCGTTCGTTGTCTGCTATGGTTGGCGTGCTTTCGCTCGATCTGGGTTTATCGGAATATCACACCACAACCAAGACGAAGAGCACAAAACCTAGTGCATGCAAACGTGTTTGCAAAGGCTCGGCATCTTTGGTACATGTCGGTTGTACCTGTTGCACATTCGAACGGCTTTGGCAGCAGTCCTCCCATTCAGGCCCGGCAGAGGTGGGAGGAAACCACGCAGAAGTGCACGGAACTCTCCACAAGTTCGGCCAGCCAAGAGGCCATTACCCAGCACTGAATGCTGAGCGCTTTTTCCGCAGTGACCGCAACTGCGTGGACCGATTCCGACATGCATTTCTCAGGCCGCAGCTGCAAAACTGCGCAGCCAAATTGATGCGACAGTAGAGGTTCTTCCAAGCTTGGAGGCCCATCAATTGTTTCTGAGTGTGCTGAATATGCTGGTTAGCGACATGAATGTGCAGGCGGAGAAGAAGCTGGCAGTGGCATCTCGTAGCTTCAAGGAGGCAGACTGAAGAAATGTCCACAATACCTACGACTACCAAGAATGGTACGCATGAAGCTGACGCGTCTCTTTGATCATTCCGACAGCTGTTGCCAGTGGCAGTTGTCTCTGTGATGGTTTCCCCTCGCAGTCAAGCAGTCAAGAGTCGAGATGCAGGTTTTAGGGTGGAAAGTTCTTCGTGCGGGTGTGGTCATGGAGCTGGGGCAGATGTATGTGAATGTTCGGCCGAGCAAAGAGTGGCTCACATTGTGTTGACCTTTTTGAGACCAGTCTGAATTTTGAGTAGGCGGTAAAAACGCTAACAGCTCGAGCCTGACGCAAGGGGACGATGGGTGTTTTGGCACTGGCGGTGGTGTCATAGGTGCAGAGGGTGCTTTGACGACTTGGGCATGGGGAAGTCGAAGTCCACGTGAAACAGTTGGGTTAGATTTTCCTTTTTGGGGTGCACACGTGGCAGCATGTCGCTGTGCAGCTCCAAGCTTGATCGCTCTCTTGATAAGCACAGGTGGAGTGGTTTAATTACGTGGTTTGCAAATGTTTGCATAAATTTGGGTTTGTGCCTTGACCACGGTTGGTATTTCCTCCCCGAGGCAGGTCGCTTGACCGAGGAGATCCGCAGGAGAGCGGGCTTGGCGATTTTGACGGCTTGGAAAAGCGGGGCTAGCGCAGCTTCTCTCCTGTAGGAGAGAAGAAGGGAAGAAGAAAATCGAGGCTGAGTTGGAGTCTTTGCAGGCCGAGGGCCTCCTTTCGGAATCTCAAGCTTTGCTGCAATATGCTGCAATTCGGCTGAGTTCTGAAGGCAGGACTGGCGGCGGCCAGGGAGGACCTGGCTGCGTGCAGGCAGGATGAACAAGATGCTCAGGATGGGCCCTGGGAAACAGTTTGCTGTTGTGATGGATAGATTGATGCGTTCGCTGCTCCGCCCAAAGATCCACCCTGGAGCATTTTAGCTACTTCGTCCACATGCCCATGCTGCCCATGCTGGAATTCAAGAGCAAAAGTCTTTAACTTTAACGCAAATTATGTGTATGAAGCGATGGAGTTGGAATTCCCTTTCGTTGTCAGCGAATCCTGAGTGCGATGAAAAGAACCTCATCGACTTTCAGGCTAAATGATGTCAGACGCTGGGGAATCCGAACGGATGTAGACCATTGTGGGAAATAGATATATAATCCGCGTTGGAGATGATAAACCCTCATGGTTGCTGTAGGTCTGACACAGCCACTAGATGAGAGATTGCACTGGCATTGGACTACGGGTTGCGATGGACACGCACATGATGCAGTGTTTTGGATTCCCATCATTCCCACTTCGGCTGGTCCTAGTTATACAAAACCTGAACTTGGAATTGCAGGCGTTACAAATCCTATTCAAAAACAATCATAGAACAGGCCGAGCTATTCTTCACGAGAACAATACTCGCAGCAGCATTAGAAGCACAAGTTGCTTTTGCACTTCAAGCATTGATGCTTCGTGGGCTCCGGACTGGCGTTTTGGAAATTTTGTTCGCCTTCTTTACTTTGGATTTGTGCTGTAGGCTGTCGTTCGTTCGATTGCAACATTTTTTGGGCAGCAGTTTTAAATGACATGACAGTTCGGAAACTTTCATGTCATAAATGGCAAGTGCCGGCAGGATCAGGTGTTATGCTTTACCTGGTTTAGTGAGGGCCCCCTCAATAAAGTCATATTGGCGGGCTACAGGGTCCCGTCCAATCGTTCCCGACATCCGGCATTTTTTCCAGGATTTATGGCTTGTTTTGAAGCTTTAAACCGATGTCCTGGCCTCTTGGCTTAAAGGCCGGGCTTCTGAATCTTCAAGGCGAGCCTTCTTTCCAGAAACCCGACATCCCAACTGACACGAAATCAAGACTTCCCCTTTGTAAAACCGTAAAAAAATGTCTTGATCAATCCGGCAAAGGGGTGGTCCAGGGGCCGCACTAAGCTCGAATAATGGGCATTATTGCTTCCGGGTCTGCTTGAATGTCCTGGCCCCGGGCCCGGGGCTCTGCATTTCGATGCCCTGGCCTCTTGGCTTTAAGGCCGGGCTTTGAATCTTAAAGGCAGGCCTCCTTCCCAAGACGCCAAGAACCCGGAATCCCAACAAAGCCGAAACCAAGAATTCCCTGTTAACAAACCTTTTAAAGATTGTCTTGATCAATCCGGCAAAGGGGTCCAACTTCGAATAATCGGCAATGTTCGGGACTCGCTTCAATGTCCTGGCCGCGGGCCCTGGATTTCAAAAAAATCATGTGGATCACCTTTAAGTTCATATAAACTCATCCCTTTTAAATTCATATGGACCCTTTGTAAATTCTTTCCAACTCATCCCTTTTAAATTCAGATGGATCCTTTTGAAATTCATATAAAGTCATCCCTTTTAAATTCATATGGAACCCTTCTAAATTTGTATGAACTCTAAAATCATGTGAACCCCCGGGCCCGTTTACAGAGGAGCAAAAACAGCTTCGACTGTTCTGGGGGGCGGGGGGGGGGGGCTGCCCCCCAACACTAAAAAGCGGGTAGAACATTAGTTGGCGCGCGAGCGCGCCGGTAGCAGTCCTTCAACATCCTCTGGGATGTGGAAGGTCAAGGCTTTGTACAAATGCGGCAAAGCATTCGGAAGCACAAAGCGAGGAGGAGGAAACTGCAATAATCACCCATTACTGAAAGGTTGTCATCGTCTTTCAACAGCAATTACTTGGAGCTCACTGGCTTCAAGGCAAAATGGACGTGCTCAGCCGAGGTTGTCAAGAAAGCAAGAAGCTCAAGTGTGTTCACAATGCAAGAGGGTTACCCTCCAAACCCAAAGCAACCGATCTAGAAATCCGAAGAGAAATCAAGAAGTTAAATCCCAAGAAAGAAAGAATCCCGATGGAGAGATCATTCCTAGAAATTGCGAAGCTTCTTGTATTGCCTCAATCGAAGTGGTGGCCACGAGCCAATCCGTGGACACTCGCCGCATTCGTTCGAGCAGTCTTCTTTCGAGGAGTACCACTCGTTGTCGGGGTCAACCCCGAGTCCCAGCTGCTCAGCCATGGGGCTAGATCAACGTGCTTCATCTTCCGCGACCGTTCTGTCGATGAGGTGGTAGTGAGCAGACAAAACTCACTACCCGGCTCGCTGGAAGGAAGCGGTGTGCACCGTTGGGTGAGACTGCCTGATCCTCGCGTGGAAGAGCTTGGCACGTGGGCCGATCGGAGTGAACGTGCTGGATGTGACATCACGTTCGGGGGTCATGCGAGCTGCGTTTGCGGCGCGTGTCGGACGCATGAGGACGCGAAGACCGATATCGGTCGATGTCCTCCGCCACGGGGGAGCTGCTCGACCAAATGCTGGCACCTGTTCGGGCTGCTTCCCGGGCCTTTGTGCCGCGTGCGATCAGCGAGTCGGAGTTCCAAAATCCGCAAGTCCACGAGCCCACATGCGTCGGACGAAATTGAGGCATGCGGCCGGTAAGGTGATCTATTGTCGCTTTTTGTCTTCCCACACTTCATGTACCACTATAAGAATTTTCCCCTTTGGGGGTTGCGTACATAGATAGGTGTATGTGTACATATGAAAACATAGATATTTCTATTATTGTTACGAGGCAGCAGATATATGTACATACACACACATACACACACATACACACACACACACACATACACACATACACACATACACACATACACACATACACACATACACACACACACACACAGACACACAGACACACAGACACACAGACACACAGACACACAGACACACAGACACACATACACACATACACACATACACACATACACACATACACACATACACACATACCACACATACCACACATACCACACAAACACACATACACATGATACCAGAGCTCCTGCGCGTCTTTCGAGCTTCGGTCTCGGTGCTTTCTTTGCTCTTTGCGAGGAGGAGCTGTTGAGAGTGGAAGGGACCTGCGCACTCGAAGAGCTTCGAGTCCCATCCCCAAATATATTGTATGTGGAATAGGCTGCCAACAATCTGCCCCTATACAGACACATGAAGTTGCAAAACTGCGAGGTGCTGCGGCATCAGGTCAGCGACTTGGAGGCCGGGAACTATTGGTGAGGGCGCTGCGCTTACGAGTCTGAGCCGTTGCCTTAAACCTTGCAGCCTTGGCATGTCAGATTGTGTCAGGATCTCTGCAAGTCCGAGTCGCTCAGCACAAGTGCGCGACGTCTTTACACCCAAGAGGTGAGCGTGTTGAAGCACCAGCAGGCGAGATGAGAAGAGCCTGCCACGTTTTGACCCAGCTATCGATGTAGCTAATGCCGGTTTGTTGCTCAGATATTGCAGGCGCATCTGGCCAAAAAGTGACCCTGCCTTGCGCTCTGTGATGTATGGGGTTCTGTGCTACGTTGCTACATATTGCAATGTTTGTGACCTTCCGTGTTCATAGGGTGAGTCAAGGAGGCCAGAGTTCGAGGCTTCTCGAGAGTCAAAACGAATGCCTCTCAACTCGAAACTGGTGCAGAGCACAGCGGTGCACAGAGCGCTTAGCAGCCCACAGAGGGGCCCCCCGCTGGTGGAGATTTCGCGAGCTTTGTCGTAGCGAGAGGGGGGGATGGTACGCTTTTCCTGGACCACTATGATTTTGCCATAGTTGGGCTCCGGAAGGCAATGATTGTGGGTGTAAGAGTCGGGGGCTGAATTGGTTCGTACCGGTAGTACTCCTATAGAATATAAGATTTCAAGACTCGAGCGGCATCTCAGAGGCTTAACATGCGACTGGCGTTGAACTTGGCCGCAGGTACAGCATCGAGCCCGACTCCTTGGAAGACATTTCCAAGCAAACCATCGAACTTCTTCAGGCCGCTGTGCTAGCTGCTAGCTGTGCTGCTTCACAGGACGCAGGGTTCTTTGCCTGTTGATGTCGCGCTCACCCTACCTCCCCCTCTCATCTCCCCCCCCATCTCTCCCATCTCCCACCGCACCGTAGGATGGAGAAGTGCCCGATCAACCTGCCGAAGATGAGTCCGACACGTCGGAACCGGATCAGGCCAACACATGCCCGCAAATCAGCAAAAAGCAGCGAACATGAGCTGCAGGTGTAAGAGATTATGAGAGGAACTCGCAGCAGATGCCGCCAGGTTCCCAACGGAAGCTCGGAGCTCCAAGGCTTGACATGACCCAGACTGACACAGACTTTGTGTGATTCTTTTTTGCTCCTTCTGCTTTGCACAGGCTTACAGCCAGCAGGGCCATCCGAAGACGGAGACGGCCCTGCAGATGATCCCCAAGCGCCTGTGGATGCGCAGGCCAGTGGGAGCATTTTGCTCAGATTGTACCCTCTCTAGCCCAATGGCTTTGAGTTCCCTTTGATCCAGGTGACTCGTGCAACCTCGACCTGTTACTGTTTGCATTTTTGCATTTGAGAGTCTGGGTTATGTGGTTGCAGGAATCAGCGGGGATGACCCGAAGACGCATTTGCTTGTGCATATACTTTGTACCTCAAAACCGCATCCATCCCTCAGTTTCATTCCGCCGATTCCTAAAAGCAACCTGAGACAAGTACCGCAGACTCTCAAACGCAACAATGCAAAGAGTCACAGGTCTAGCTTGCACACGAGTCTGCAAGGTAGTGGAAAGGTGTGGACACCACGAAAAAGCTAGAGTCCAGAAATCTTATTCCATTATATATATACATATACATACACATTTTTTTTTAAAAACAAACTTTTGTTGCTGTCAGTTTGTCTCCGTACCGCCTAAGTAGGGACGCGCGTAAAGGGCACGACGTACGTTTAACGAAAAACACGTTTACTGAATTCCATCGTGCAGTCTGACTGTTGTGAGCATCAAGGTTCACGTAGCTCGGAAAAAAACAGGGGAGGAACGTGGAAGCTCTGTACCGGGGGCCCCCGGGCCCTCCCCCCTCCCCACCTTCACCCATGCTTGCTGAAGTCGAGGGTCATTTGTGGTCATTCGCATTACTACGCACGACATAAGGAAGGACAAATTTGCGAGGCGGCTTGCGCATTTCTTGTCGAGCGATCTGCGGAATGGCATTTCTGCACATCTCGGTGCCACTAAACCTTCGGCCTAACGTTGACCCATGTATGCCGTGGGCACGTGAGGTCGAGATGTCATTAACGCTGATTCGGCCTTTATGTTTGCCAATGTCACCTAAACTCTGTGGCGTTGACATAGACTTAACACCATGTGCGCGGCGTTCTTGGCCTGGGTGGATGTGTACGGAAAGGTTGAAAGCGACGAATGCAGTCCGAGCATCTTGTCTGAAAGCCTGCGCCTCAGCTGCATCATGCCGCTCAGATACTGGTGCGTGTCACCGCACAGGAATTGCCGCTGTTGAGTCAGCAATCGATGACTTCCAGGCTTTGATACCGATCTAGACAGACAGAGACAGAATAGTACAACACAATTTCATACAATACAATACATAAATATTGTGAAGCGGTGTTGACTCGGATTCTTTGCATCATGTGCCCGCAAGCCCGTGCCCACACATACTACAACCAAAGGCTTTCTATCATCACAGTGTGGCACCCTGTCTCGTGGAACTGCTGATACACGTTCTAAACGAGGTAATATTCTGGCGAATACTAGACATCCAGCCGGTGCCCCGCGAAGGACAAGATTGACGGACTAGAGCCGGAGATTGAGAAAGCTTGTGAAGTGGAACTCTTCGACTTGGCGGAGGACGTGGGGCCTCTGAATGCATGTCTTGACAAAAGCAGCCCACCTGCTTGAATGACATTCGCTGATATAGGGGTGCGAGGGTACATGAATGTACATGATATGGGTCCCATTATTGCTTCAGGACTTAGAATCTGAGCGAAAGGCTCTGACGCAGAAGCTCGAAGATGCTCAGCAGGACTCAAGTGTCTTTATGGTCATCTTGCGGATCTGATGGATGATTCAGTTGTTCCATTGGCTTGTGAGGAGCTGGAGATTCTAAGACGAAAGCTTGGCGAGACCACTGGCGCGACCGCTGGCGCGACCGCTGGCGAGACCGCTGTCGAGACCGCTGGCGAGACTGCTGGCGAGACGGCTGGCGCGACCGCTGGCACCGCTGGCGAGACCGCTGGCGAAACTGCTGGTGAAACTGCTGGTGAGACCGCTGGCGAGCCCACTGGCGAGACCGCTGGCAAGACCGCTGGCGAGGCCGATGGCGAGACCTCTGGTGAGACCGCTGGCGAAACCGCTGGCGAGACCGCTGGCAAGACCGGCGGCGAGACCGCTGGCGAGATCGCAGGCGAGACCGCTGGCAAGACGGGCGGCGAGACCGGCAGCGATGCGCAGGTGAAGTAGTGTATGAGTATGAAAGAGTGCTGCAGGTACTGTGGCGACGCCGGGTTTCACGGGTTGTTGTATGCAAGGTTTCGAAGCTCGCAGAAGAGGATGCTGAGCAGCCGGACAAGGCCGAGCTGGTGGAGGCCAGCCAAGGGCCCGAAACGGGCGTTCAATACCGTGGTGCGGGTGGGTTCACCCCTGGACTGCTTTCATGGCCCCAAAGAATGTCTCCTATTGCCTCATCGGGCCTCTGCTTCGGATTGAGATGCATTGCGGTGCGTTGCGTTCTGAGTTGAAAGAGTGCAACGCGCCAAAATGCCATTGTTCAGCAGAAATCCTTCAGGTCGCTGGAGTGCACGCTGCACAGAGTATCCCACAGAGTGTCCTGCACAGTACCGAGTATCCTCCGTTGTGTATCCCTGGAGCGCACAATCCCAGATGATCCCTACAGTGACCATCAAGTAGCTGAGTTTTGGGGTAGGAGGGGGATTAGCTTCAAGCACGGAAAAGTGGGCAGGGGTGATGGGGGAATTAAATTGCTGTACTTGCTTCAAGTTGAGGAGATTTCAGGAGTGAAGGGAAGTGCTGGATTCAGGCCCGCATCTGGGTCAGATGCAACTGCACCATAATCTTCAGTACGCAGACCCGGCCTGACCAGCCGGCTCCCAACATCTCGCTTCGCATAGCTTCGCTACAGGGGGGCGGGGGTGACATCTCATGCCCCACTGAGCGGCCCACCAATTCGAGAAGCACCTTCAACCCATTTCAACCCCCCACATAAATTGTTGTCTTAATTGATAAAATAATGTTGGATCACCGAACTTCTTGGCTAACCAATATTCACCGAAAGGGCAACGGTTTCACTGGGCCGATCAGCACGCAACAATACGCAACATGTCGCCACCGAATGGTAACCTTGAACCTTTGTTGTGAATCGGCCGCCGAAAGCTTAGAACTATGCAGCATTACACTTTCCCCCCCATCTGGCGTCTCCAAATCCCGAGTGTCTTCGATCTCTCAGTAGGTCCCAGCCTCTGCACATCCGAATCACCCTAAAACTTCCCGAAACTAGAAGTTGAGCCGCCTCGTAGTCTCTGCAGATCTGCGGTAGATTTGCTTCTGCAGTCGCGAACCCCAAACCACAAAGCCGTTAGCTCGTGTAAACTCGCCTAGGCTCGTGGAGCCCTTTCTGAAGCCGGAATATGCGGGACTCGAAATCTAAAAACATTTGCCATCATTAGCCATCTTTGAGGGATCCAACGCCAACAAGTCCAGAAAGACCGTTGGAGGAGAGAAAAGATGAAAGCGATGAAAGCACAGAAAAAACACGAGACGAAGTGCCCACCATGTGCCAATGGTTTGAGGATGTTTGAGGGCCTGACCGGCCGGACGCTTGATTTATGACTTAACATAACTTGACGAGGTACTGGGATGACAGCTCTGATGGCTACATGGTGAGGCGGCTTGAGCTAAACATTGGGGCTTGATCCGTATCCAGGACCGTTTCTGGGGCGATTGGCTCGATCCGGAAACAGGTCTGGGAAGTAGGCAGGTTGTGAAGGGTCCGTCAGGCATGTGCTAATTTGGTCCTGCGAAAGAGGGGGACTTCCACATGTCAAGAGAAAGCTGCAATTGGGCAGAGTGGGAGCCTTTCTTCTGGCTGGCTGCATGTGTTGCTCTCATTCGCTTTCAGCTGGTTTGGCATCATTGTACGTGTCAGGACCTGAGAGCACATTTTCCTCGTCGTGCAGCGTGCTCACTCTTCTCCACAACTGGAAGCGAGTGACCTGTGCACATTCGACGACCCTTTTGCATCCGAAAACGACGAATCCTGTCTGGTAATCAGCTCGCATTCGCTCATTCTTCGGTGGGATTGCCTCGTGTCAGTCCAAGTCCATCAGGTGGTGCAGTTGAACTATTCACGGCGTCGGCTTTTTTCCCTTCCATTCCTTCAGTGCTTGCCTCATGTGAGC